ATAGGGCATGGAAGTTCCATGTCCGTTCTTGTATACTTCACTCTATGCAACTGTATTAATCAGCTTTCCATTACTATCATGAAATACGTAAGACAAGCCATGCATGAAGGAAATAGAAGCTTATTTAGCTCACAGCTTTAGAGGTTCAAACCCAAGACCAGGCTCTCCCACTGGCTTGGTGTCTGGTAAAAGTGCAGAACAGCCAGTGGTGAAGCACATGCAGAGAACTGACCATTGGCAAGCTAGGAAGCACAGTGTGGCTGGGCCCATCTTGGCTGTTACAACCAACCCTTCCACAAGAACTATCTTCCAAGTAAATGGCCCTGGTAACCTAAGGATCTCACAGTAGGCCCACCTCTCAAATACGATAGTAGGATTCCCACCTTCTTAGTACCAACCACCTGTGGCTTTGGGGTTTAAAGGGCTGCTTGAGCATGGGAACAAAATTACATTCAAACTACAGAAGCAATTCTTTTTATCTTTTACAATATGCTTATAATACACACTAGCAAACATGTTTCTCTGAGTTCTGTGAGTCACTCAAGTAAATGAACAGAATCTGAGGACGGGGTTGTGAAAACCTGGATTGATAGCCAGTCAGACAGAGTACGAGTAAAATAAGCTGGGGCTGCGATTGGCATCTAAAGGAGGAGAGAGGCAGTCTTGGGGACTGAGTCTTCAATGTATAGCGGCTGCTACTTTCTCCAGGTAGACAGGTGAGAACCGAAGTCAATCACAGGACACCCAGCTGGATTCTGCTGAAGACCTGCTTGTTCGCTTGCTTACCGATAGGGAGAAATCTTGACACCTTTTGCGGTCACAGAAGTCTGTCTTCTTGTGGAGTGACAAAAAAAATGTTTTTTTCTATATCAGTGTTATGAAAATCCAAGATCATATCCCAATGTGTATATTTTTAGTCCGTCTTTTTTAATATGGGAATTCACATCCTTCAGTGGTGGGATTTACTCCTGTACTAGTTCAATTCCTTTACTTCTACCTTTTCTTTTGTCTCTATGAAACACTTACTTTTAGATGTTGAACTTATTGGGTCAATCTTGAAATTTAAAAATTTTCTTTTTCCTTCTCTTTGTGTTCTATTTTCTGAGATTTTCTCACTTTTATATTCCAGACTTTCCCATTGAGATAATTATTATTATTATTATTATTTTGGACAGGCAGAGTGGACAGTGAGAGAGAGAGATGGAGAGAAAGGTCTTCCTTTTCCGTTGGTTCACCCCGCAATGGCCACTGCACTGCGCTGATCCAAAGCCAGGAGCCAGGTGCCTCTCCTCGTCTCCCATGCGGGTGCAGGGCCCAAGCACTTGGGCCATCCTCCACTGCCTTCCCGGGCCACAGCAGAGAGCTGGACTGGAAGAGAAGCAACCAGGACAGACTCCGGTGTCCTGACCGGGACTAGAACCCGGGGTGCCGGTGCCGCAGGCAGAGGATTAGCCTAGTGAGCCGTGGCACCGGCCATGAGATAATTATTTGTAATATCATATTTTATGGTCTCAATAAACTATTAATAGGTTCTGCTCAATTTCCTCAGGCAGGCATTCTCCCCTCCACCCTTCTTCCTTAATCTTCTAAAGTGGGAGGGTCAGAGGTTGAGTTCGATAAACAAAGGTAACTAAGTGTAGAAGGTTGAGGTATGAAAGTGTGTACGTTGTGCATATCTTGAGCATCGTCGGCAAT